GAGATTGCTATACCATGAAATATATGGCAGAATGTGGGTAAAACAGAGCAGGGGACATACAATTCTCCACCAAGGAGTTCAGTCACAAATTTAATTAACACTTTTTTTTTTTAATGCGTGTGACCGGTATGGAAGCATGTCCTCTGGAATGGTGGCCGAAGCATGAAGGGGCATACAAATGATTAGCATATCTGGCACGTAAATACCTTGCAATGCTGACTACAAAAGTGCCATGCAAATGCCTGTTGTCACTTTCTGGTGACATTGTAAATAAGAAGAGGGCAACATTATCTCCTGTGAATGTAAACAAACTTGTTTGTCTTAGCAATAGGCTGAACAAGAAGTAGGATTGAGTGGACTTGTAGCCTCTGAAGTTTTACATTGTTTTTTTTTTTGGTTACTCAAAAACAAAACAATCTACATTTGAAAGTTGCACTTTCAGGACAAAGATTGCACTACAGTACTTGGATTAGGTGAACTGAAAAATACTATTTCTTCTGTTTATCATTTTTACAGTGCAAATATTTGTAATCAAAATATACACTTTGATTTCAATTACAACACAGAATACAAGATATATATGAAAATGTAGAAAAACATCCAAAATATTTAATAAATTTCAATTGGTAGTCTCTTGTTTAACAGTGCAATTAAAACTGCGATGAATCGCTATTAATTTTTTAGTCGGGATTCATTTTTTTTAGTTAATTGCATGAGTTAACTGCGATTGATCGATAGCCCTGTTTAGGTTAGGTTTTCCAGAATCCTCAAGCTAGCAGGCAGTTCTTGGAAATTTTCCCTTCAGCCAGTGAACATTCTTACCTAGCCAAGGTAATATTTATCTTTGCCTTTTTACTGAACTTTCTGAAAATATCAAATCAGAATTAACAGCCTAAAACTGCACTGTTTTAATGTTTAGTTTAGTCACATGTGAATCTCAAAGTTTAAAAGCTTGCTTTTTAGGCAAAGCTGTTAAAGTTTGGCAAGTACTGGAAGGAGCAAAAGCAAAGCATATTAACCTATTAAATAAATGAAATGGTCAAATCGTAACTTGTTGTTTTCCACTGGAAAACACACATTGGAAATAATTAAAGATTTTTTTTTTCTTAAACCACTGCCAACAACCATACCAAAGGGTAGCAACATTACAGACCTGTGCCTGTTATTTCACCTACTGTGACTTTAAAGGTGAAACTTGGAAGATGTACTTGTCCTTCAGCCTTCTCAAACTTGTACTCAGGAGTGATACCAGCCTTCGTGCCATATTCATGTAACAACTGAATTGGTGTTTTCCCTGGTTTGGCAACAATCATTTCCTCCAAGCTGCAAAGAAAAGAATAAGATTTCCCAATGAATAATTTACAAAAGAAAATAATTTAGATGGGAAAACTGTATTTAAAGCTGGTAAAAAAAAAATCTGAATCTTATGATTTTTTTCACTGAAACTTTGAAAAAATAATTTTACTACTTGGCTTTTGTGGCACTTTTCAGCCATAGATCTCAAAGCACTTTACAAAAAAGGACAAGCATTGTTACATTGGGATGGGGAGACCAAGTTATAGGGAAGCAAAGTACTTGTCCAAGGTCCCATGGTAGACCAAGATAGAACCCAAGTTTACTGAATCCCAATTCACTAGGCCAATATTATCTCCCAAATTTCCATTTTTTTTAAACCAGCTCTAGCTACTGTAAAAGGATAATATTACCAACCTCCCCTCCCCCCAAATCTGGATGAGGAAAAAATAGTTTAACGAATTCTCAGTGTGTAGGGCCTTGCATCCATTCATATATGTGAAGTTTATTTTGCAGCATAGGAGGAAACAAGAACAGATGTAGGTAGGTGGAAAAGCTATTCAGAGGTCTAAGCTTAAACTTGTTTCAAAATGCCCAATAAGAGGCTCTAGGGATGGGCACATCAAAACTAGAACAGCAAGAAAGGAAGAGTATTTTAGCTGCAGCAGAGAAAGGGAAAAGACTGCAGTGGTTCTCAAACTTTTTGTATTTACAACCCCTTTCACACAGCAAGCCTCTGAGTTTCTTTATAAATTAAAAACACTTTTTTATTTAACACTATTTTAAAGTGATATTTGTTAATATCACTTTTCACAGCAGACTTACTAGAGCAGACTTCACAGCAGACTTTCTAGCTAGCTGGGAGGCATATACTTGCAGCCCCCACATAACAACCTTGCAACCCCCTGAAGGGTCATGACCCCCATTTTGAGAACTTCTGTGATTAGAGGAAAAATAAGTAGCTCAGACAGTCACAACATGATCAAGCTAAGCTAAACTAAGGCATGTCTGTATTTAGCATTTGAGAAAGAGACCAGAAAAGTTAATTTACAAACCATTGTGGAGGAAAAACCAACAGGATTTGGCAAAAGCTTTTGGTAAAAAGAGGGGACAGAGTTAGAGGGATATGTTGAAAACAAAAAAACCCCTGCAGTTTCTCAGATTTACAAGACTTTCCTATCTTAATCCCCAATAGGGCAACAAGTATTTAAACCCACGCACATGTATGATTTTTTTGCATCAGGAGGACCTACATGCATTTGCACGCAATTCAGAACTATCAGCTCTACATTGTAAAGCAAATTTAGTGCACAAAGAGTACCAGACTGACAAATCAGGAGACTAGTCACAGCACTATTATAGTATCAGTAGTGACTGCAAAATTCTCTACAAAGTGCCACCCTATGTACCTCAGCCCTCTTCTAAAGAAGCTGCCTAAAATGAGAAGAACACACAGACTTCGTGACGATTCAACATGCTGAAAGTGCCAACAAGAATGTCATTTTGTTTCATTTTGTAATATGGACACCTATCAACAAAAAACAGATGGACTCCAGTTAGTTTACATAGGTCTCTGAATGAATTTTGGTTGCTACTGAACCAAACTGGATTCAAATTACTGGCCTCCTTGTGAAAGGCTCTCATTACCTGTGTTTCAAGACAGCTTGTCATCGTCAATTCAAGTTATGAAAAATCAAACTGATCTTACTAAATGATGAAAGAAAAATTATTTTATGCTGAAAGCCTGCACTGACAATTAAGTGGGGAGGGAAAGTGGTTTTCAGCTGGAAGCTGCATGCTATGAAACCAGAATGCAAGTTAGATAACAAACACTTAAAATACAGGATCATTCTTAAACACAGCAATAAAGAATCAGTTATATAATGTGATAGAAAACAAATGGCAACTGTTGTAGACAACTGTTCTATTGGCAGATAGGAATAGGGGAAACAAAATATTTACAAAATAACATTATATTACAAGTAATTAACACTTTCTTCTGATCACCAAGACAACTGGGAGTGGAGACAGTTACAACATGGACAAGTGGTTGGATACCAAAAGCACTTATTAATTCTCCACAGAAAGAATCATTGTTGAGGAGGATCTGAAGGTGACAGGTCCATAGTAGATTGAGCTTGCACCCATCTCAAAACGTATCAAGTTCAAAAGTTAACGGTATCTGGATAGCTGTTCTCCAACAAAAGCTGGGCTATTTCAGGAACTGGTGTTTTAGGCCAGGACTATTCACAGGCTTAAAGTCAAACACATGAGTTTGTAGGATCATGGTATACAAACACTCTCCTTGTCTGTCTTGGAACATGGCCTAGACTTCTATTCCCCCTCCCTACGTTATTTATTTTGCTCCACCACTAGGATGACAGAACATTATGCTGCTGGAAGTATCATGAAACTAGTTCCTGAGCATTTGTCAAAATGTACCATGGCACTGTTTGAAAGATGGGCTGTTGGGGACCTAAATACTTCTGAGGATCAGGATCTTTCTTGCCAGGGGGGTGATTACTGTCCTCTACCTATAAGTCCACCACTTCTGGTTTGAATTGGACAGGGTGCATGAAGGACTGGGCCACGTTTAACAGCTGTCACATTCTACCATGAAGGTGGCTCCTTTTCAGGGATGCTGAGTCCTGCTTACAACGGCTAACAACATTAACTTTACACTGACATGACTGAGAGGGATCTTCAACGGAGAGCTGAGTTTAAGGGCTATTGAGCCTGCCTCTGATTGCATCGCTCTCAGTCCGAGGGTATGGGACTGAGCCTCAGGGGCTGGCTGGCGACGGGCGCAGGCTGGTGCAGCAGCTACACTTGCAACCCCGGTGGCTGCGCTGAGAGCAGGCGGGGGTAAAGGCCCCGCGCCGGGTCAGAGCCCGGGACAAAAGCAGGCCGAAGGGCGGGACGCAGCTGGCCGCGCTCTGGGGCCGACAGGGCTCACGCTGGGCAACCCGCGGGCAGAGGGGAGCGGCGGGCTCTGCGGGGGACCTGGGGCTCAGACAGGGACCAGCGTTTTCCCCGCTCGCTGCGCTGCGAACTGGGGCAGCTGGGCCGCAGCGACAACGAGCGGGGGCACGAGCCCGGCCGGTGCCACCCCCGCAGGGAGCAGTTGGCCGCGGCCGCTCGCGCACCTCTGGTGAGTGGGGAGCGGGAGAGGTTTCCCTGATTACCCACAATGCCCCACTGCGCCCTGACCTGCTGGGCTTGTCCGGCGCCTCCGGGCTCTGCTGGGTCGCGGCCGGGAAGGTCTCCTGAGACATGGCCGGGCCGGCCGCCTCCGCCTCCCAGCGAAGCGCGTCCCCTCGTGGCGTGCTGTGGGGGCGGGGCCGCGCCGGGAGAGCGGGGCGGCGCTACCTGCCGTTCCTGCTCGGCAAAGCCCCCGCTTCCTGTCGCTGCGGGGCCCGGCACCTTCCCGGAGAACGACTGTCCTTCCTGCCCTCCGCGGAGCGCACCCTGTGGGGCCGGAGGAGATGGGCCCAGCCCGGCCCTCGCTCAGCGCACCCTGTATGGCCTGGCCAGTGATGCACAAACCCTCCCCCCTCAGGAATCCCGGTGGGGAGAGTAATACCCCTCCCCCAACACACCCATGGGGCAGAGAGGGACGCCCTCTCCGTCAACCCCAGCATAGGCCACTCCCCACTCATGTATATGAACACTCTTAAAGCCCAGCAAAATCCCATGTGCCCCTCTGTGGTGGAGTACACCCCAGTGTTTCCCCTAGGGCTGCTAGTTTTGGTTGGATGTATTCCTGGAGATTTCATCACATGACATAATCTTTAATTCTTGGAGACTCCAGGCTAATCCTGGAGGGCTGGCAACCCTAATTTACCCCCTATGTACTATTGTAGTAATCTTTATACAAAATATATCTTGTAAGCTATCACTTGAAAATCCATAACTTGCTGTTTAGTAATGGCCTGGTGAACTAGGTATGGCAAGATGACTGCAGAATTTAGTAATCTTTTGATTCTAAAGCAATCTTCGTACGTATTTTCAAATAATGGCATTATACTACTAAAGATTGAGCAATCATCTCTGTATCATTTTACACAGTTAATTTATTATTCATTGTACTGGATGAGATGGCAGAACAGAAGGAAATTGGAAAACAATACACTAGAAGCTGGGTGGTGATGACCGTACTGATTCTCTTCTCCAAGTAAAATGTAACTAGGCTTTAAACAAAGGAGTTAGACTTTAAGTTTTGCTATGTGATCATTCAATTACTAAAATATTTTAACATGGGTATGAGGGTTGGAAACTGCAGTTGATATAGGGTTTTTTATTATTATTAATGCTATACTATGTTTGCTGCTGCTACCAAAAACTTCGTTAAGCAGGTTGGTGACGGTGGGAGATTAGTCCCTGTTCCTAGCCTCAGTGAAGCTGACAAATACCAACCTCTGAGTCTTGTTATTAAGAAGAGAAAATGTTTTCTTTCAAAAAAATCTAAATTTGCTTCGACACCTTTCACCCTAAAAGACATTCTTCAGGGAGAGAAAGAAATTTCAGCTGGTAAGTTTTTCTGTTCTTCTTTAAGGCCTGAAATATTAAGGTTTTGCAGTAAACATAGACCTGGTGTTATATTTAATTAGTATATGTAATATGATAATTATCTTCATTAGCCATGCAATTCATGAGAAATGAAAAAGTAAATTATAAAAATAGTCAAACTTCTATTTAAAAAACTGCACAAATATGTTTACTAAATGGCTAAAATTCTGGAATAATTTTCAGGAATCGATTTTATTGACAAATCTTGATTATTTTTGTGTACTAATAAATAGCAAGTATAATTCAGCCATGTGTATTTAAAAAGTATTATCATAAAAGATTCCTGGTAAATATGTTAGCATATGTTATTTACCAGTTATTTAAAGTTCCATTGTACTATATATACGTTTTCAAGGCACATCTCCATGAAGCGTCACTGTTGAATAGAAATAATGGCTCCAATCCTGCAACTGATTCATGTGACTGACCTCTTGTACCAGCTAAATGAGGATCTGTTCAAGCACAAGGGTCTGCCCATGCAGATCTGATTGAAGAATTGGGTCCTAGTAATTTAATTTAGTCAAATATTTCAGTAGTGTAGCTACCTCTAGATATGTATAATTCGAATAAATCTTAAGGAGACTCTGTCTTAAGTAGGAGGTTCAAAATTTAAACTATAGGTCCAGATCCACAAAAGTGGTGTGATGATGAATGTCACAATGCCTAGCTTTTATAGGTGTTTAGAAAATCATTGGAACTACCTGGGATCCACATAGCCTGAGTTAGGTGCCTAAACTCCCTATACAATGAATGTCACAAGATAGGCACTTTAAGAATGCGATCCACTAGATGGGGAGCTGCCTAAGCTAGCCAGTAGGAAAGACTGACAAGAGCTGTGTGACTTAAGCTGTTATTAAGACAGATGGCTAATTCCGAGCTGCAGAGAAGTGTCTATCTCTATGTGTGTTCCACAACTGGGAACCCCTCTCCTAGCGTCAGGTGGCTTAGACGCCTAAGCTGTTTCTTGTAAGGGGCAGTCAGGTAATTACCTCACTCCACACAGAAAGAGGTGGTGCCCACCTGATAACTTTAGCCCCCTGGTTAGAACACTCATTTGGGATGGGGGAGATCCAGATTCAGTTCCTCCTGCTGCCTGATGGGGAGAGAAGATTTGAACAGAGACTCTCCCTTGTGTCAGGAGAGCTCTCTAACCGCTCAACCATGGGGCTCGCTCTCTCACTTTCTTCAGTTGAAGCTGTTCCACTGTGTATAAATAATTAAAGGGTCATTGGAGCATGGCAACTGGACCCTGGGTCTCCCCAGCCCAGATGGGTTCCCTAACCAACAGGCTATGGAGTCATTCTTTCTCGCTCTGGCCCAATGACTCTTTAATGCAGTGAGTGCACTTGAAAGCAGAAAAATCCACTAAGGAAAAACATTTCTATTTCAAGACTACACGGAGACTTGACACACAAATAGGGTCAAATTCTTCTAGCCTTGCACCTATGAGAAATTCAGTAAGATTACTTGTGTAAGTAAAAGTTGCAAAAGATTTCTTGTAAAATCTAGTTTTAAAAAGGTCAAACAAACAAACAAAACACCTTGACAGTGTCCTTTCAATAGGGGTTACATCTCATGAGGACAATGTGCTTTAATTTGTAATTGAATTTCTACTCTTTGGATGAGAAAAATACTGGAAAATGTGACAAGCCACTTAGCATTATGAGAGAAAAATATTATACACTCAAAAGCTTTAACATTCACTTTATGAAAAATTTGTAACTTCCTTTGTTAATAAAAGACTTCAGTTGTGCTATATTGTCAACCAGTATCTTCTAATTTTTTCCACAAGTAGAACAGAAATATATTGTGAATCACAAGGAAAATATTAACTAAAAATGCCTATTAGGTTAGAATAGAGTTCAAACAAAAATGGATTCTTTAGTTCATACCAAGATCTGCGTACATGCAAAATTTCAAGAAAGTCAGACGACTTACTAAGTGTTTTGCTACTTCTCCAGAAGAAATTATAAAAGTAGACAATGAAATCAATGGATGCTGCATCTTATCATGAGTACTTGTGGCACCTTAGAGACTAACAAATTTATTAGAGCATAAGCTTTCGTGGACTACAGCCCACTTCTTCGGATGCATAGAAGTGGGCTGTAGTCCACGAAAG